CTACTTGGGATACGCAACGCCTGGAAGGAGGACATCCAAGCCACCGCAGCCGAAATGGTATATGGGCAAGGACTAAAACTTCCAGGAGAACTTTTCGAAAAACAGACAAACGAACCCAGTCTAGGACAGGAGACATTCGTCACACAGCTACGACAGCACATGCAAGAACTCCAGCCCGCAGACGCATCCAACCACGACACCCAACGACGAATATTCAAATCCCAACGCCAAGAAACAGCCACCCATGTATACATCAGAATCGACGCAACTCAAAAGCCACTAAGCCCGTTGTACGAGGGACCATACCCAGTGAGCCACCGTACAGACAAGCTGACGAGGGTAACGAAAAACGGAAAAACAATTACAGTATCTAACGACAGGATAAAACCCGCCTACATAGAGACGAGTGCACCCCAAGAGAGAAAAACCAGCGAACCTGAAAGCAGAACTTGCCGACGCCACACCGAAGACGGTAACGACACGATCCGGAAGACGAGTTCGCCCGAGAGTCCATTTCCAGTGCAACTCCGTTTCCAGCAAGAGGGTATGTGGTGGTAGCCCGCGGCAAGCGCGCGAAAAGCGAGAACGAGAGCCGCTCGAGAGTGCGCGAGAACCAGTCCCACCACTTACACGCGCACCCCCACGCCCCGCTGCCCTTTATAAGGCGCAGCGCGAAGGAAGATTCTCATTCTACCCTGGCTCACCATAGTAAGGGAGAATCACGAAGACCCCGGCTTTCCATAGTAGGGGCAAGAAAGCCCTCGGCTACCCATAGTAGAGGCAACGAAGTCCTCGGCTACCCATAGTAGAGGCAACGAAGTCCTCGGCTACCCATAGTAGAGGCAACGAAGTCCCCGGCTGACTTATAGTAGGGGCACACTAATAGAATTACAGACGACACCCATGCCGCCAACGACGCCTAAACGTTTGAGGAAGGCACGCCGCAACGCCCGAAGAAAAGCACGGCAGCTATCTCCAGTACCACGACTTGTAAGCCCACTACCGCCGTCGCCGGTGAAACCGCACGCAACCAGCACCGCCACCACGCCGCCTGCATGGAGATTACTGCTCATCACCGTTTCCATCCCGTACGCTCGAGTCGCCCTAAGTTCGCTGTCAACAAACGACCCACGACGAGCAGTTAAACGCCACCGACACATTTTGTAAATTGTACATTGTATAGATATAGTTTGTATATATGTTATGGTAAAGAACACGCAATAAACAACCCCAAAACCACCAAAAAAGTTATATCTGTGCAGTTAGAAAAAACAAAAGTTCTATCTACATCAAGATAGAACCATATTACACAAAGGATTGCAGATACACCTTTACTACACCAAACAAGCAAAATTTCTGCAATGCAGATAGAACTTTGTAACTTAACTAACTCGGTTATTATTTGGTTGATGTCGCTAAGGTTAGTCAAAATGCGTACATTTCAGCAGATAGAACCATATTGCATAAAAATTTATTTTTCCCCAAATTTGCAGTTAGAACTTTGTTATTCCAATGCGACGAAAAATGTTATTATTATTATTATTATTATTATTATTATTATTATTTTATTTTACCAGTTTAGCCATGAATATCGATTTGCTGGTCTTGGTAAGTAGATAATGTACCTTCACAGGTTGTATAAAAGTATTAATATTCATTTATTGCAGGATATGTTAATGGAAACTGATGGTGGGTCCACAACGGAGTCTTCGGATGAAAACGAAGAGGAACTTGTCAAGGAACCACCCCCTAAGATTGCGCGAATTAAAAACTTTGTGGAAGAAACGGTGCAGCAGTATAGCGACGTTGTCTTTCAAGAACACTTTCGAATGTGTCGACGAGTTGCTACCTTTCTTATTGGTAAACATTTATGTAACAAATACGTATTTCTCACCTTCATCTTTTAGACTCCTTTGCAGCAAGTGCATTTAAACAATTAAGTGTTGGGGGACGTGAACAAATATCCGGTAAAAAAACATTTTTTCTACAACTGTCAAAAAAACCTGTCATTTTCTGACGGATTTCGAAACGCGAAGTACTAGATTTTTAAACGGTTAATTAATAAGTAAGGTTGCTCTTGACAACGTGCGCGAAATCGTCAACAGTGAAAAAAAGTATTTCGCGCACGGAACAAAGTTGAACTTAACAGCAATTTAATTAACAATCGGTTCAGTTGTAGAAAAAATATTGTATATAACGCTAGCGCGAAGTTATTTCGCGCATTTGACTGATATTTTAACTCGGCTTCGCCTCGTCAAAATACCTTCAGTCTCAATGCGCGAAATTGAACTTCGCGCTCTTGTTATATAAATAACTATTGTTGACGTTGTGGTACCTCGCAAACACGGAAACCTTTCGTCAGGTTGCAGACCGCTTTGACATATCATTAAGTTCTGCACATAGATGTTTAGTTCGTGTAGTAAAGTTTATAATTTCTATTAAACATGAGTATATTGTGTGGCCTTCTATTAATGAAGCAAAATATATTGCTAAACAATTTAAACGTAAACAAGGAATTGGGAATATTATAGGGGCAATTGATGGTTCTCATATTAAAATAATAAACCTAAATTTAATCAAGATTCTTACATAAACCGTAAAGGTTATCATAGTGTTTTGCTGCAGGGTGTAGTAGATCACAGAAAAATGTTTATCGATGTTTACTGTGGGGAACCTGGTAGCTTACATGATGCCAGATTATTACGTAAATCACCACTGTATGCAAGAACAAACAACAAAAATGATATATTTTATGATATGTTTCTATTGGGTGATTCTGCATACCCATGTCTCAATTGGATAGTGCCGCCATTTAAGGACAATGGCAATTTGACTGCCGATCAAAAGATGTTCAATTATAAACACTCATCTACAAGAATGTGTGTTGAAAATGCTTTTGGCTTGCTTAAGGGAAGATTCCGTAGATTATCAAGTTTTGAAAATTTAGATATTCAGTTAATTGTGCAATGTAGGGGAGAGTCGGATAACCGTGCGCAGCGGCAAATGGTGCGCACCATGATATTATTTGAATCGTCCTTTGTTTTCACGAAGTGAAACATATAGCGACATCTTCTAGGTATTACATGAACTACAGGTAAAATTCGCGCTATTTTTGAGGTAAACACGCCTACTATATTGTCTGAAGGTTAAGTCAACTGATTTACTGTAATTTTCGTGCTTGTGTAATTAAGGGGTCGTTCGCGATTAAGATCCAGACATCGACGAGATCAGATCGGGATTTACATAAATGCATTTGAGTTATTTATTACTACACGAACGCGCTCGAGTCGTAATGTTTATTTTTGTTGAGGTTAAGGTTATGGTACGGTGAAAAAAAACGTTTATAAGATTCTCCCATTTGTGGTAAATTTAATTAACAGCTTTTGAAATGGACACATACTATTTATGCCAACAGTGTAACTGCGAATTTGAAAATTTGGAAGACGCGACTGAACACTGTGAAACCTTCCATTCAAATGCGAGCACTTCTATAAATGGTAGGTATTCCGTACTGGTTATTTGTTTGGAATCTTTAAAAGCAAAAATGTTCCTTTTTAGCATATTTCAATGATGCTCATATTGTTACGGAATGTGTAAATCAGGAAAGACAGCAGAGCGAAACACAGGAAGAGACCTCTCGAGTAACACCTATAGAATCGACAGGTAAACCCCATCCAAATTTAATGAGTGGGCATCATACTTAGCTTACAGAATCACACGAGGGAGACGAAAATAAACTATGGCCACAGGAAAATACGTTCCTTTTAATACACGTAATCGAGATGTATTAGGGGAGCGAAGGGTAATCACGAACAGCGGCTAATGGCGAACATCCATTTGTATCTTGCAGTGCCAACTATTGGCATTTACATACAGTTAAATATAAAAGAAAATGCTATGACAAGTTGGTCGGTACAGCGCAAAGGAACCTAGCCTCCCGTTTATGAGAGTTATGGCGATTTGTGAATTTGTATGTGCTTTGTTATTAAAACGTTTTATGCAAAATTAAGGTAAGTTAGCTTTGTATTTTGGAATTTTAAAATTCTTTATGGACAGTTATAATCTCTAAGCTAATGGTTATCAGCAGGGACGATAGCTTTATCATAGGTTTGTGTTTTTTATTTTTGTAACCTGAAATAATTTTGAAGGTCGTTTCGGGGAATCACGGACACTGTGTTCGGCATTACCAGACATGCGACTAAGCGCCGGAAACAAAAGTCTGAGATTCTTACATCTACACCTTTTAAGGCTACGTTAGAAGAGAAACAAAGAAAAAGAGAAGCGAAAGAAGCAACCTTGGAAAGAAGAGCCACAAAAAAACAGAAACCGAAAAAAAAATCGCACGTTAGAAAAGTTTTCGATTCGTCTAGTGAAGATGAATAGATGAGAGTAAATTGTGTGACGACGATGAACTCGACGATATGGATCCCCAAAATATGATGGACTTTGAAGGAAACGAAGGAGAATCCTGCTTAGTATGTGGGGAATATGGAAAAGACGAAATTTGGTATCGTTGTATTTCCTGTGGAGGTTGGGTACACAAAATGTGCAGTGGAAAAAGATAGCGCTGTAAACTATATCTGCGATGTTACTTGCAGTTAATAAAAAAACTTAGTTGTCCAATTTTGTTTTGTTCGGTATTACCCACCTGTTGTACATCATTACCCGAAACCTTCGGGCAATGCCGAACATGCGCACTTTTTTTAAAAAAAATATTGTGTCATTTTACAATTAAATTTTCGCATTTTTTGGTATTACAATTGATTTGTTAGGGTTTCCAGTATCTGTTCTCCTAATTGGTAGTTAGGTAATGGCTACACTTATAGAGTTACTGATTTTTTTTCTTAAGTGTTCGCAATTACCCTTCCCTCCCCTATAGCGAATTTGAAACACGTTTGAAGAAAAATGTTTGGCAGAAAATAGCAACGGAATTATCAAGAACGACTAGTACTCAATATACAGCAACACAGTGTGATACGAAATGGAAGAATTTAAAAAAAACTTATAAGGCCGTAAAAAATCATGAGAAATCGGGAAATAACACTAGAACATGGATATATTATGATGCGGTACATGCAGTGTTGTTTAATAAACCGGAGATAAATCCACCTGCCACATGCTCAGTTTCCGGAGTGAAAATTAACACGGAATGCGTTGCTAATACCTCTTCATCAACATCCACCACTTCGGAAACTCCCAAGAAGAGAAAGAGGTCTTCTGATGACGATAGGCATAAGGAAAAACTTGATCGGCAGGATCAATTTTTACAACTTTTTAAAAGATTGGTGGATCACATAACAAAAGAAAGTTCAAAATAAGATTAAGACGTAATGTATTTTTTTGTATGTAGAATGTACATTTATTATTGTTTGTTATAATAAAATTTGATAGTACCTACTCTAAACTTATGGGGAAAAAATTAATTACAATGTACAAGCAAATCAAAGGCCCGTGTCATATTATGCGCTATGATTTCCCTTTTATTCTTCCCTGCTTGTGTTACACTTTCTGCCGCATAATTAATGGTCATTTCTCTTTCTTCATTCTGTTCAGATTGTATATTTATGTCTAATATATCTGAAACAAATGGAAGTCCAAAATACGGCTAGAATTGTTTATTGTCTTATACCTTTGTTCAGCATGCATATATTATGTAAAATACATGCAGATACCACCATTATAGGGATGCGATCAATGCGTGTATTTTCAACAAGCTTCAAACGGCGGAAACGTCCTTTCAATAGAGCAAAGGCTTGCTCTATAGGCACTCTTGTTTTAGCATGTGCTGTATTGTAATGCTTTTGTACTTCTGTTAGCTGGCCGTAATCTTTGAATGGAACCAATAATTTAGATGTCAAAGGATATGCACTGTCTCCAAGTATGTGTCCATTATGAAGGAATTCGTATGCATTTTCATTTACAGAAAACTCTGAACGTTTGAAGACCATAGCATCGTGCACAGACCCAGCTTCACCTGCATAGACGTCCGTAAAAAGGTATTTGTCATCACAAATCGCTTGCAAGATGACGCTATGGAATCCTTTACGATTTACATAGGAAGTATGGTTGTGTAATGGTGCTTTGATGGGCACATGACTTCCATCAATACAACCTATAACATCTTAAACATAAAGTTAACACAGGAAATGGAAGCTTTAAATACAGAACATACTTGGAAAGTTAGCTTTCTTATAAAACATTCTACTGATTCTTTCTTGACTTTGCACATTCGGCCATGCCAATACTTTTGCAGTTTTATTATATTCTATCAGCTTTTCACACACGCAGTGTAAACATTTCCAGGCTGAAGACTTTGATACTCCGAAGCGTTCTGCGACACTACTTCAATAACAGACAACAATGTATAATCATGTAATCAAAAGGTCAGAATACAAACCGAAAACATTCCAAATTTGCCAAGTACCATATAGCTATCATAAGTTGCTTTTCAATCTTAACAGAGATAGCACCCCTACGTACATTTTCAGTCCACATGCCCCCTATGTTTGATAACAGTGTTTCAAAAGTAACTCTACTTAAACGAAAATCAGCTTTAAATTGTGAATCTTGCATAAAGTATACCGTTTCTTCTATGTAATTGTTAACCTTTTGTATTGAAGAGGATATAGTATTTTCTTTATCATCTTCAAAAAATAAGTCTTGTATAAAATAGCACGCCACCCCTAGTGCAATATCCTCTAATTTCTCCATTACAATATTTATTTTAACTCTTTAAAAATTTAAACAAACAATGCCCCTAACCTTAAAATTTCGATAAATCTAGCAGATCGCTCAAAAACCTCTGACCATTTAGATTCAATCAAACCAGTAAGATTTTTTTTTTAAAAACGCAAAAGATACGATCCAGATCTAATTTAAAAACGCACTTAACTAATTCGATAAATCTGACGCTAATCGCGAACGAACCCTAAGTGTTACCTTTGTAAATTAGGACGTTTTTGCTTCGGTAAGTATAGCAAGCTATGCAATACGGATCTGATTATTATTGTAGCATGCTATTTATGGTAAATCATTTGTAGTTTTGTTTTGGTGAATTTTTATAAATATTTTGTAGATGTCGGCTAATGGTGCGCGATGCGCACAATTATCCGACTTTAAAATGTTTCATGTTCTATTGGTATTTATCTTCACACAGATGCCAAAATATACCCGAAAATCCAATAAAGCCTCCTGGGACGCTAGTCAAATGAGAAAAGCCTTATTGTTTATTACAAATGGTGGGACAATTAGAGAAGCAGGTAGAAAATTTGGAATTCCGGAATCAACTATTCGGAAGAGGAAGAAAGACTATGATGGAGGACTTGATGTTACGGGGCCTCAAATGGGACGGCATCCTATTTTTTCAGTGGACCAGGAAAAGAGTTTGACTAGTCACGTAATAAAAATGGCAAAGCTCTTTTATGGTGTATCAAAAACACAACTTCGTAAGTTAGCGTATTCCTATGCACTGTCTAATAACATTCCAAACAACTTTAATGCTACAACTAAAATGGCGGGAAAAGATTGGTACTATCACTTTTTAAAAAGGAACAAGGTAATATCACTACGAAAACCAGAACCCACAAGCATCAACCGAATATCTGCATTCAACGAGACGCAGGTTAATCAATTCTTCCAAAACTTAAAAAAGCTCTACGAAAAATATCACTTTAGTAATGAAAAGATTTTCAACGTTGATGAAACTGGCATTTCGACGATGCAAAAACCGTCTAAACGCGTTGGTCCCAAAGGAATCAAGCAGTTTGGAGCAAAAACTTCTGCTGAAAGGGGAAAAACCGTTACGGTAATTTGTTGCTTTAATGCTGCTGGTACATGCTATGTGCCCCCGATGTTTATTTTTCCCCGCACTCGCACCACTACCTTGGAAAAAAACGGACCACCTAATGCAAAATACAGTTGCTCAAAATCTGGTTGGAGTAATGAACAATTGTTTTACGAATGGCTCCAGCATTTTATAGACATTGTCAAACCTTCCAAAGATCATCCTGTGCTAATTATTCTAGACAATCACTCCAGCCATATTTCCATAGCAATTTATGAATGTTGTAAGCAGAATGGGATAGTACTACTCACTATTCCGCCACATACATCCCATCGCTTACAACCTTTGGATCTAACATTTTATGGCCCACTTAAAGCAGCATTTTACCGGCAGTGTGACAACTATCTTTTACATTTTGAAAGAATCACACCATATGATTTGGCGGAACTCTTTCATAAAGCTTACAGTCAAGTTGCCACTATGGACAAAGCCCAGTCAGGATTTAAAACACCAGGAATATGGCCTTTCGACTCCGAAAAATTCACAAAGGAAGACTTTCTGGCATCTAATCACCATACGCCGACAGTAACAATAGACGAAGAGCCTCAAAACGATCCTGACATGCGGACTACAACTCCTGAGCCAAGTATTTCCGAAGTTTTCCAGGAAGGTGAACCTAGTACAAGCACTGCAGTTGTGAATGAAATTGCTATTAAAAGTGGTTCTGGTTTGCCCCAGCCTGAAGTTTCATTTGAAGATTTGAATCCAATTCCCACTCCATCTACAAGTAAAATACAACGTCGGAAGAAGCAAAAGTCTGAAATTTTAACGGAAACGCCCAATAAACAAGTTTTGATAGTCTGTGAGGAAAAAAGAAACAAGAGATCGGTAGCTTTTCAAGAAAAATTAAAACGGAAGTCAAAAAAAGGTAAATCTAGTTTGAAACATCCCGCGAAAAATAAACAGAATTTTAAAAGAAACCTTTTCCAAGAAAGTGAGCCTGATGAATCGATTTCAGAGAGCGAGTTATGTGATGATGATGAACTGGATGATATGGATGGCGATTCTGAAGACCGATGTTTGATTTGTGATGATTCAAGCAAAAAAGATGAATATTGGTTTCGTTGCATATTGTGTTCCAGATGGGCGCATGAGCTTTGTAGTGGTGTCGATTCCGCAGAAGGTTACGTTTGTGACTTTTGCGACCGTTAGGTGACATTTCAAAGGTCATAGAATGTTTCAGTAAAATAAAATGTACCTCGTATTGATTATACACCTTCCTCTTAATGTTTTTCTACTTGCGCACAATTACCCCACCTGGTGCGCACAATTAACCGCATAGGGTGGATAATCATGCGCAGTGCCACTTTTCCTCTTATTTTTTCCCTATCATCAACATGAATATTTAAATCATTTTTGATTGATTTGGGTAATAACCAACATAACAGAGAACAATACTACCAAATTTAAGAGTTGTATTTACAATAGTTTGGAAAATACGAATTTTATCGCTTAGATGCGCACAATTCACCGACTCTCCCCTATTATGGCATGTTGCGTTTTACATAACATCTGCCTTAAGCTAGGTGATGAGTCCAACATACCTGAACTAAATGAATCTCCCGATAGCTCAACTGAGAACTATCCTGATCACAGCAGTACTACTTGTAACAATAGAAGAGAGGAAGTATTTCGTTTATTAAAAGAAGATGTTTATTAAATAATGGTTATATATGCATACATAAAGTAAAAAAATGTTTCAACTTGTGAACATTAAAAAATTTCCAACTTGATTTTGTTAAGTAATGAATAAATACATGATTATGTTTGCTTCATATTTAAATATTGCTCCAGCAATTGTAATTTTCTGTTTTCAATTGCTAGCTTCTCTTCGTGCCTTTTTTGCCTTCTCTGATATTCCTCGATTTTCATATTTATAAATGATTGTGTAACAGTTTTTTGTGTAGTTCTGCGTTTTTTTTCTTGCGGAGGCTCTGTTTGAGACTCTTTAGGAAGATCTAGTTGTTCATCTGCCGCATGTACTACATCCTCGTCTTCAGGGTTTGCCTCAGTATCTTGTGCAGGTACTTCCTGATGTAAGCTATCTCTAGAAGTATATGCAAGTGCATGCTCACATGAATTAGAAGGTTTGTTTCCTAATATTTCGTCAATTTCATCAAAGAACATAAATCTAGAGGGTCCCCTGCCGCTTCTATTTTTGGCATCCTTTGCTATCTTCTAGCTACGAATCAAGCTCTTCCATTTCACTTGCGCTTGCACAGCTGTGACTGCAAAACCTGCACTTAGCATGTCGTTGACCACATCGTTGAAAACAGTCTTTCGTTTTTTCGGGTGATCAAAGTTTTCGATATGACTGGCGACGGAGTCGATTAATGCTTTAGTTTCATTGTACTGCCAGGAATGTTTTGTTTCGGAAAGCGATGCGACACTTTCATTTGATACAGCATCTAGTGTGTTCTTATTCTGTAAAGTGAATGCAAAAATAAACCTGTTTGTAATTCTCCATAAGTCTTACAAAAGCTTCCTCTTCATTGACTTCTTCCTTTTGACTACAAAGTAACGAATATGCAAATCTGTCATCTGTAAAGATTCTCTATTCGTCAATCCAAATGAATCGGGTGCTTACCAGTCATTGCTCTCTTAAAATCCTCGTCATTTAAATTAAAAGTGTTCTGAATATTAATTTCCACGGTCCACTAATATTAACTCCTTTACTGAATTATTTGAACACATGATTGTATCAATTTCTAAGGTTATGTACAAACGCAAACAAATTCAACTGGACTGTTCCATTCGCTAAAAGCGGTGTAGTCAAAGAGTAGAGCAGGTGCAGAGCACTTCCGGAGTAAATCAAGTTCGAATGGAAAGCGCCTATTGATATCCAACGAGAAATTGACATATCAGACACGAGGGAGGAATATTTGAACACATCTTAAAACGTCAAATGTAGATATTCGTTACGTTACTTTTATTTGATATTTTTCGTACTTCCGAGACTAAAGTGACAACTTCACTCCTTTATGACAAGTACTGAAGTGTCACTTTTTGTCCCGCCGGGATTAAATTTTACGAAAATCCCGGAAGGATGAAATTACTAACAAAGCAATTTCAGTAGGTTTTTCCACATTTTGTATGCGGCACTACTTCTTAAACGCATCGTACTGCTGCTCATATAGTTTTTGGATTTCGGTGGTATCAATTCTTTACCTACTTTGGTTGCTTTTTATCAATATCAAATACACGTTTGTCACCCACCACCAAAATTATGACACTAGCAATGACAGTTCCTATGGTAACTTGTTGAGCAGCGATTTTTTGAAAGAACGCGTTCTCAAACTCCATACATATTAAGTGTTTCAGTTTCGGAAGTACGAAAAATATCGTATATACCTTGCGACTGAAGTAGTGGTCTTAATCCCTCAGGTAAATTATGGCCCTCCTTTCGGTCGGGCCATAAACTTTACCTTCGGGATTAAAAGTACTACCTCAGTCCCGCGGTATATAATATACTATTATTGAGTTTATCCGTAACTTAACATTATTATTCAGGTATGTATATCCAAGAATTACGAAAGTAATGTTTAATGAGATCTTAAAGGACGAAGATTTGGACGAAACTGTGGTGTTTGAAGGAACACTAGAAGAATTTAATAACAGTGCAATGTCACAAACGATTGTTCCTTCTCTTTCCACTTCAGTTAGAAGTACTTCAACAGAAAGTAGAGATAGTCGAGGCAAGAGAAAACGTTCTGCGAATAATCTTACCGATGACACATTAGGAGCGCTCATTGCCGACGCTTCAAAAGTTTTGTCAAGTGTAGCTAATAAAAATGTGACCAGTAATTTGGAATCTCCCGAAATATTTTCTTTGTAAGTTACATACGTAACTATTTTCTAAGGTACTTAGGTAAGTGTATATTTACAGATCTATGGCTCAGGAGTTAGCTGTTATAAAGAATCAAAAGATATTACAGAAAACCAAAAGAAAAATAATGAACATCATCTATGATGCACAAGAGGAAGATGACGAAATAAAAGATTAGTGTAGTATTTTACGTTTAATTAAAAAAACATGTATATAATTAGAATTAATAGTATATTAAGTATGGAGAACGGTAAGGGATTTTTACCGTTCGAAGACAATTGTTTGGAGGAGGAGCGGAGCGACGACTCCAATTATTGTCTGAGAACGGTAACCCTTAACGTTCGACGTGCTTATAACATTTTTTGCGCGATCGAAATTAAAATTATGCAACCAATATAAATATGCACTAAGAAATTAACGAGCAGAATAAATCGAAATATCGAAGTGGTATGGTGTACATCACTAGGTAACCAGTTTATTTGTCAAAANCCACTCAGGAAAGGAAAATTGACGATGCCTGTAGCGTTTTGTCAAGTGAGTCCCGAGATAATGAACTTGTAATTCATAATGACGTATCTTTACCAGAGGATGTCATTGATATGCTCGGCGACGATCCAGAAAGCACTGCGGAAAACGGTTCATTGTTGCACAATGAACTTGCAAAGAGGTGGAAGGTTTTTTTGCAAAATGGCCTTAAAAAGGATGATTTATTAACGATCCTAAGTAAATATGACACACCCTCAAATTTATCTTTGCTAACGGCCCCGATTCTCAATCCAGAGGTTAAAGCCGCCTTACAAAAACCTATTCTTTCGGTAGATTTTTCTCACTCCGAGGGTCAAAATCAATTAGGAAAGGGGCTTTGTGCTCTAGGCAAAGCAATCTCTAATATCCTGGGAAATATTGAGAGTATTCCCGGAGATATGAGGAGTGGTTTATTGACAGATCTGTTTAACTCCGGCCGTATACTTACTAATCTCTTCCATCGTGAATCTGTTATAAGAAAAAATCTTATAACACCCCATTTAAAGAACCTGCAGGCGGTTGCCGAAAAATGCATGCCTGCCGAATTTCTGTTTGGAACAGATCTATCAGAAAAGCTTAAGTCTCTCAAAGCTATTGAGAGTGCAAGTAAGGAACTTAAATCGGTGCCAAAACCTTTTTTTAATAGAAAGAGGGGGGGCGATACTGTAAGTGACCGAAGTAAACCCGGATCAAGTCGGCCTTTAAACGCGTTCAGGCCGGTCCGTCATTACCCCGAGACGAGGCCGGCCCGATCACAAAAATTTGCCTACCGGTCGGAACCAGCCAAGACTTATCGCAACAAAAACCAAAGCACGTGGAAGAAGAGGATTTAAAGGTAAGGAAAAATTTAAAATGCAATGCTGTTTATGCAGGTCGCCTCATTCATTTTTACTCAGATTGGCTTTTTATAAATCCTTCCTCGATTGTTTTGAGTTGGATTAAAGGATATAAATTGCCTTTTATTCAAAAGCCAAATCAAGTAATTCTACGCCCAAAATCTTTTGGTCAGGAAGAAAGTAGCCAAATTAATAATGAAATTGCTAGCTTACTAAATATTGGGGCAATACAGAAATGTACTTTTTTGAAAGATCAGTTTCTGTCTTCAATATTCTTAGCCGATAAACCCAATGGCAAAAAACGTTTTATTTTGAATTTAAAACGTTTAAATAAATATGTTTATGCACCGCATTTTAAAATGGAGGATTTCAGAACAGCAAATAGGTTAATTCAGAAAAACTCGTTTGCAGCCTCTCTCGATTTAAAAGATGCATATTATTTACTTCCAATAGCACCAGCCCATAGAAAATATTTAAGATTTTCTTTTAATAACACCCTTTATGAATTTACCTGTTTGCCGTTTGGCCTGGCAACCGCGCCTTATACGTTCACGAAGCTTTTGCGACCGGTGGTTGAACATGTACGGTGTGCCAGGGGCGTGCTTTGTGTAAATTTTCTTGATGATTTTTTGGTTCTGGGGGCTACGAAGGACGAATGCACTCAAAGTGTTCAAATTCTCAGGTCCACATTAGAATCATTGGGATTCATTGTAAATTTGGAAAAAAGTGTGCTTTTTCCGGACACAAAATTTAAGTTTCTAGGCTTTATGTATAATTCGAGTTTAATGACCATAGAACTTACACCCGAAAAACGAGACAAGATTTTTAAATGGTCTCAACTTTTACTTAACAGGAAAAATTGCCAGATTATTACACTTGCAAAATTCTTAGGGATTTTAACGTCAGCATGTCCAGCTGTAAAATACGGCTGGGTGTATACCAAATTTTTAGAAAGGGAAAAACAT